GGGCCACAAACGTGGGTAAATGAGAGTGAATTTTTTAAATGATTTCTTTCCAAGAACTCTTAGGACAATAAGAGTGGTTTTTTAAATGATTTCTTCCAAGAACTGGTCCTTCAAACATTTTTTTCAAGGACTTTTAGGGTGGATTTTTAAAGATTTATTACAAATACTTTGAGGGCCATAAGAAAAGATTTTTTAAGGAAACTTTCAGGGCTTCTATGATTATTAGAGTGGATTTCGGACCATAAGTGGTGTTTTAGAGGCCAAATGCGTAGAACTTTTAAGAATTTTTGTCCATGGACTAAGCTTGGATTATTCATAGATTTTTTGCAGGAATTTTTGTAACAACTTTAGCCGCAATACAACAGAATTTTTAATAGATTTTTTCCCAAGGACTTCTATGATGAAGGAAGTAGATTTTTGAAAGAATTTTTCCAAGAATTGCAGGGTTTCAACTTTTTTTCAAGGACTTTTAGGGCGGATATTTAAAGACTTATAACAAGTACATTGATGATTTTTAAGGACTTCTGTGGACTTCAGGAGCCATAAACTTGGTCCTTCAAACATTTTTTTCCAAGGACTTTTAGGGTGGATATTTAAAGACTTATTACAATGTGGGGCTTAGAGGCCATAAGCGTGGAACTTTTGAGATTTTTTCCATGATTTTTTGTATAAGTTTTTTCTTGAATTTTTATAAATACTTTAGGGTCATTAAGACTGGTGGTTTTTTATTTTTTTTCCAAGGACTTCTAGGACAATAGGGTTGGATTTTTGAAAGAATTCCTCCAAGGTTTTCCGAGACCAAGAACTTATTACATAAATTTGTTTAAAAAAGTTCGACATATAATATTGGATTATTAATTATTGTATGCAGTGACCCATATCCTGTTTGCTGTTGATTCAAGAGTTCTGTTTATTCTTAGCTCCCCCAAAACACACACACAGCCAAGTGTGTCCACAATTTGTTGTTGTTTATTCTTTGTTTACACATTTCGATATTTGTATTTAAATACATATTTACATGGTCTTCTATCTATTTGTCCAATAATTCTGTCTGGCAGTCGGTCAGTCGGTCCGATACACATTTACCGATAGATAAATATGATATTTATGTTTGTCATATTGACACATTTGAACAAACAAATGGACACACTTACACACACGCTCTCTCACGCACTCGAATCATTTCACGCAGTGTTTGAAGAATGCAATTATTTACTCAATGATATTAAAACATTGATTGTAGCATGGAGGGAGGGGAAATTAGAGTGGAGAGGAGGGGGGGTATTACAGAAAATTTGTTGTTAAATTGTGGACAAGATAAAGACCAAGTTGTTGGGAATTTACAAAGAAATGGAACAAACTCAACGTTGGGTTTTCATTCATTATTTTCCAATAGTGCGTCATACCTCATACCCCTTGCAACTTCAAACATTTCCCTCAATCCCTATGCAGGCATGTATGTGTGCAAGTGCAGGTGATTAACATTGCAATTTGTATTGAAATAATTTAATTTATTTTCCCATTTAATCTTTCGGGTTTTGTTGTTGTCCGTATTTTGTAATTGCATCAATTTTTGAAAATTAAGAGTTTCGAATTTCATCATTTAATTATAACTCAAAGAAATAGTATTAAATTCTTTATATATTAGATATCATAATTTTATTAAAAACAAGTAAAAAAAGCTGTAAGTTAAGCCGGGCCGAATTTTGAATACCCTTCACCATTTGATGTAAAATTTGGAAATTTTCAAAAAAAAAAAAAAAAAAATACGTCAAAAATTTTGTTAAAATCTTAAAAATACCGAATGTAGCCATATATTAGGGTCTATACGACGACATGGACCTGCATAGGCAACCTTTGCAATATTCAAAAAAAAATAAATAAATAAATAAATAAATAAATATAATAATAATAAAATCCGTTTTTTATTATATTTTATTAAAAACCGGTAAAAAAGCTAGAAGTTCGGCCGGGCCGAATTTTGAATACCATCCACCAAATTTGGCAATTTTCAAAAAAAAAAAAAAAATAAATAAATAAATAAATTAAAAAAAAAATTAAAAATACCGAATGTAGCCGTTATATTAGGGTCTATACGAAGACGTGGACCTGCATAGGCAAATTTTGTCATAAGCTATTACAATATTAAACCAGTAAGGAAAGTCCTAAACTCGGGCGGGGCCGACTTTGCTAATTTAGTTGAGCTCCACTCAGGTATTTCTGAGCTGTATTTGCTATATTTCCATGAATATCGTTGTTACGGAGTGCATATTACGACTGTGGGTAACAAATACAACAAATCGGATGAACAATATATATGGGAGCTATAGCTATATCTGAACCGATCTTCACCAAATTTGACATACTAGCTTCTAGGCTCAATTCGGTCGTAAGTGCCAAATTCCATTCCATTTGGGCAAATATTAGATGTTTGGTGCACAATAAAATAGTAAATCGGACGAAGTTATATATGGGAGCTATATCCAAATCTGAACCGATCTCGATAAAATTTGGCAAAGACTATATTTGATATATTTCCCTGAATATCGTTGTTACGGAGTGCATATTATGGCTGTGGGTAACAAATATAACAAATCGGATGAACAATATATATGGAAGCTATAGCTATATCTGAACCGATCTTCACCAAATTTGACATACCAGCTTCTAGACTCAATTCGGTCGTAAGTGCCAAATTTCATCCCATTTGGACAAATATTAGACGTTTGGTGGACAATCAAAGGTAAATCGGACGAAGTTATATATGGGAGCTATATCCAAATCTCAACCGATCTCGATGAAATTTGGCAAATGTATTTCTGAGCTGTATTTGATATATTTCCCTGAATATCGTTGTTACGGAGTGCATATTACGGCTGCGGAGGACAAAAATACAAAATCGGATGAACAATATATATGGGAGGTATAGCTATATCTGAACCGATCTTCACCAAATTTGACATACTTGCTTCTAGACTCAATTCCGTCGTAAGTGCCGAATTCCATACCATTTTGGGAAATATTAAACGTTTGGTGCACAATAAAAGGTAAATCGGACGAAGTTATATATGGGAGCTATATCCAAATCTGAACCGATTTCGATAAAATTTGGCATACTTATTTTCAGGCCTAATTTGGTTGCATGTGCAAAATTCCATACTATTCGGACTGATATTACACGTTTGGTGCACAATAAAAGGCATATCGGACGAAGATATATATGGGAGCTATATCTAAATTTTTACCGATTATCTCCAATTTCAATAGGGTTCGTCCTTGGGCCAAACAAATGTTGTTTGGAAAATTTCGTCTCAATCGGATAATAAATGCGACCTGCATTTTGTTTACAAAAATACATGGACAGACGGACGGACAGACGGACTGACATGCATAAATCAACTCAGAATGTGATTCTATGCAGATCATCAAAAAGAACTATGGGTCTATCTCGTTTCCTTTTGCCTGTAACAAACAAATGCACAAAGACATAATACCCTGACCACCTTGTGGTGTAGGGTATAAAAATGCCATATTTCCTGGTCGATAGGTCCTTAAAACATTTTTTTAAAGAATGTCCTTAAAATTCAATAAATCCGGGAAATATGTTTTCCTTTACAATTTCCAATTTAGAAGCTCTATTTTTTTAAATTGACGTTTGTTTACCTATTAAAAAATACATATTTTTTAAAAAATTTACGGATCGTGGTTATTCGAAATATTTATTTAAAAGACAACGTTTGTTGTTCCTTCCAAAAAAAAAAAAAAAAAAAAAAAAAAAAAAAAAAAAATCACGTTTTTTGGGCATCTGGTTGCTTATGAAATAATGTTTAGAAATCCAAGTTTTTTTTTTTTAAATCCGGATTTGTTTGTCTTTTTCAAATTTATTTTTCCAAAAAAATAAAATAAATAAAAAAATCTTTATTAATTTCATTCTCGGCTCGTCCTTGATTTTTTGTTTAAATCCTCGTTTGTTGATCAGCTTGATTTAGTTCTCTTTTTTGTTTTATTTTTTGATAAATAAAAACCTTTTTTGTTTTTTTTTATGGAAGAAGTCTTTCCTCTTCCTCTTAAAGAAGTCATATATCTTTAAATTCCGATTAAATATTATCCTGTGACCTAAATTCATGTCTAACCCATTTCCAAACCCAAAGCAACTAAGCCTTAGTCTAACAAATAAACAGGAAAAAGCAGCCAAGAAAAACCACATCGAGCAGAGAAAGTTCATGCCGTAATGCCATAGCCAGGCGATAAGGACGACCTGACCTATGTTGACACTGAGGAATGAAATCTAATCTCTGAAACCTCTAATGATGACAGTTTATAATGACAAACTCAAATATTCATAATGTAATTACCCTTTGTTACTGTTTTTGCAGCTTGGCAGTCACGCAGACACACACAGAGAGACATAGTAATAAGGACTAAAATGAGATAGGACAGGATAATAACAACGACAACCACACACACACACACACACCAAATAACAACAGTTATAATAACAATGTTGAGAAACAAGGCAACAGGCGGTTAGTGTTTTAAAATACACAGACAAAGAACTTACTCTGAGTTATTATGGTTTTGAGAGGGAAAAATGACTGTGAGAGTGAGAGGAGAGAAAGAGAGATACCATAAATAAATAACAAACAAACCAAATACCAAGCAAACACATTTATTTCCCGTTATTTTCCATTGAATAATGGAGGGATTTTTGTTCAATGCAATGAGAGCTGAGAGTCCAGAGAAAGAGAGAGAGAGTAAGAAGGAGAGTATGTTCGAAAAATGAAATTGAAACATAAATATTGTGTTGGCTCATCACACAATGGAGCAAGCACACGCACGGAGAGTGTTTGTGGGTGCCACGCACACACACACACTCACACATACACACATGTATACCGGCACACACAGCCATCTGCCGGGTTAAATTGTATAGCAGCAGAAGCCTTTTCGAAGGGAAAATAGTGAAAGATGAAAATGTTTCGTACTCAGTATGAAACGAAACTTTAACGGATGCGGACGGTCTGGAAACGGATGTTTTGAGGTCTCTATTAAAAGCGAATTTTTCTATTGAAGAACAACTAAAAAAAAATACAAGGAAATTAATTTTCAATCAGAAAAAAAGAAAAACACGAAAACGAAGTCAAAAATAAGAAAATTAAAAAAATATTAAATTTTTGAAACGAAAAAAAATAACGAAAAATTGTCAAATAAAAAAATAAATTTAAAAATTCGAAATTAAAAAATAGAATCAATTGTTCAATCTTAAAGTGTAAACGAATTTTAACTTAACAACAACAAAAACAACAACCACGACGTTTGTTGTACATCAAACACCTTGCGAGGTGATAAGGTGAACCAAATAAAAGATCGGGATAACAAAAATAAACAAATGTTAATGGCTGTCATTAGCCAGATTGACTGGGAGTGCGTACCAACCGGCAACACGTAAAAAAAGAGCAACAACAACAAAAACCAAAAAAAAACAAGTGACATTTAAATTTGTAACTTTACAAGGCAGAACGCAGAACGGGCCATTTAAAACGGAAAATGTAAACGTAAAGAAGAAGTTGTAAAACATAAATCGATTTAAAACAGAACGTGAAAAAAATAAATTTAAAGAAAAAAACCTAGGGAAATTCGAGGAAAAGCTACAAATCACAAAATTGAAATTGAGTGAAATTTACAATCAACAGCAAAGCAATAAATTCCTTTGGCAGAAAATTTGAAGACCCTGCTCTAGGAAAATCCTCCCTTCAATTTCCCAATTATTTTTTGTTCTCTCCTTTTTTCAAAAAAACACGTCATGAAAAAACCTCCCGCCCTGAAAATGTCCACAATGCAATTACTTCTCCTCCTGGTTTGCCTCCTACCCTGCTGGGTGCTGGCGGCTCCCTCTGCCCTGGATGGCGGCAATTATTTCACCGCCAATGGTGGTTATGTTTCGAGTCCTTCCATTTATTCGTACACAATTGAAAATCAATTGCCGCAAGTGAATCAAAGCCAACAACAGCAGCAACGGGAAGTGCCATATTATCAATCGGCCGTGAATACACGTAACTTGTATTATACCTCGTCGAATAATAATAACAACAATAATCGGGATATAAACTCGGCACCGCCATCAACTCCGGCGTTGGGCTCAGCCCCCACCCAATCAGCTCCTGTCAGCGACTGCACCGTCGATCGTTTGGCAATCTACAAAGTTGTCCTGCACACCTATTGGACTAGGGACTTATTTCCCAAACACTATCCCGACTGGCGGCCCACAGCACAATGGACTAAGACAATAGGTAAGTGGAGGGTTAAGAAAAATTAGATTTTTCAAAAAAAAAAAAAAAAAAATACTTCGAATGGGAAATGCTGCATTCAACTGCCTATTTTCCAAGAGGAATCTTTAAGAGATTTTTTTAACGAGATTTTTAAGGGGTTGCAATTTTCAATGGAAGATTTTCAAAGTTCTGCACTTGTGAACCTTTGAAAGGGCTCAAGAAAAATAATTTAAATGACTTAAATAGGAGGTCTTCAAGGGGTTATTTTTTTTGAAGGAATCCAAGAATTTTCTACAGAAGAGGTTCTACAATGGGCCTCTTTGACAGCCTGCTAAACAATTTTATAAAAGGTCTTCGATGAGATTAAATAGAAGATCTTTCAAAAGCTTCAACAGAATACCGCAAATGGTTTCAATTGAAGGCTTTTGAAGGACTTCAATTTAAGGTTTTTGAAAGGGCTTCGATAGATTAAAGGGAGTCTGTCGAGGGTCATTAAAGAGCTTCTAGGGCCTTGAAAGGATGTTAAAGGTATCCAATGCTAGGTCTAAGGACTGCAATACATCCCCTTCATAAGGCTTCTATCAAAAGTCTTTAGTAGTCTCTGTTGAAGGGTTTGTATCGCTTATCGAAGAGAAGACTTTAATAGGGATTCCACGGAGACCTACAAAGGACTTCAATGGAAGGCCTTCAAAAGCATTTAATGGAAGTCCCTTAAAGTCTCCTATTTTCAAAAGAATTTCTTCAAAGGACTTCAATAGAAGGTCCTTAAATTATGTTTAATTAAAGGTCTGGAAAAGTTTTCTATAAATAGGGTGTCAATATAAGGCCTTAAAGCTCAGTAACCGAAGTTCTTCTATTATTATTCTATTTTCAAAAGAATTCCCTCAAAGGGTTTAAATAGAAGGTTTTTAAAATGTCTTTAATTAAAGGTCAGAAAAAGGTTTCTGTCAATAGGGTTTCAATATAAGGCCTTAAAGCACAGTAACCGAAGTTCTTCAAGGGCTTCAATGGCATATCTAAAATCTTTTAAAGATCTCTAAGAGAAGACTTTTAAAGGTCTTCTATAGAAGAACTTCGATGGCCTGTTAAAAAGAATATAACCCTTTTAAGGGATACTATCACAGACTCTAGGGAGCTGCTTTAAAAAGTCTACATGCGGCTTCTTTAGAAGACCAACAAAAATATTTAATTGAAGGCCTTCAACTGGCCTTTTAGCAGGCATGGAAAAAGCGTCTATTGTACACATTTAAAGGATATCAATATAAGGCCTTAAAGGACATTTTACCCAAGGTCTTTAAAGGGCTTCAATAGGAAGCCTCTTAGACAGCCTTCGAAAATCATCTATAAAAAAACCTTCAGAAGCTTTGTAAAGAAATTCTATCAGAGACCTTCAAAGATCTTCATAGATGGTTTACATAGGGCTTTATCGAGTATCTTCAGAGATGTCCCATAAAAGTCCCTCAAAGTCCTTTTCAGGGACAAAAAATTAAAAATGTGGATTTTTTTAAAATAATATTTTTTACAGGATCAACGGTCCTCTAAACGTCGATGCAGCCAAAAGGCTCTTAATTTATTAAACAAAAGAATTCAGAAGGTTGTCTTGTTTACAAATGTTGTTCAACAAATTAAAATATCTAAAATCCATTTTTTTTAAATATTTGTGGAAGGCATTACAGACATCAAAAAATAAATTTTTAAAAATATTATTCAAAGGACGAAAAAGGTTCGAACTTTTGATTTTTTGCAAACTCTGAATCCTTGATTTTTAGGAATATTTTTTTATGAGACCAAAATACCTTCAAACGATTTTTTTTCTTTTTTTTTTTTTTTTAAAATTTCCCTATGGTTATAGGATTCAAACAATATAATTTTTTTAATAAACAAATAATAATTGTAATATTTGTTCAAAAAAAATTGTTTTTAATTATTTTCAAAAGGCCTAAGGTCACTCATTTTTAGGAATGTTTAGAAAGTTTCAACAAATTTCAAATGGTGAGTTTTTAGACCTTTGTGCCTTTAACCCGGAATTAGAAACATTTTTGGAAGGGCTAAGGACCTAAAACATTATATAGTGCATTGTTTTGAAAGCACACATTTTAGATGCTTAGACCTTATGTAATGTCCTTAAAAAATAAAGGACAAATAGATATCAAAATAAACATTTTTTCCGAAGGACCAACCGACTTTCGAAATATAAAATTTGACTTTAAAAAATTTATTTTTTAAAAAAATATTTTGGAGAGACTCTTTGGTTTCAAATGATGGATTTTGTAGGATTTTCGGGTCGAACATTTTTTTTTAGATAGCAATAATATTTTTGGAAAAAGGGTTACGAGTCCTATTGAATATTTTATTTGAATATTTTTAGGGTTCCAAAATCTAACATTGTCATTGGACATAAATATAGACATTTTCAGGGATATTTTCAGGAGGACACTTCGATCTCAAATCGTTTATTTTTAAATGGAATACCGGTAAGGTTTTGAAAATCCTTGGGTTTCCATCTAATCTAATTAGTTTTCTAATGGGCCGTATACTCAATATAAAATAGAAGAAGAGCTTATTAAGTATACGCAACGTGGACCCTTGTAATTAATATTAATTATACGCCACAGTAATTTCAATTTTTAAAGTCTTTGTAGATACATGAAAATTTCCATTAAAAATTCTATGAGAGGTCATTCTACAGGAATACTCTGTAAAACATTTTCCAAAAATTGCCTATTTTTGCAAATTTTGTAGCTCTTTAAAGCACCACATTACTGCCACAGCAAAAATTCATTTTTCATACCATTAACTAGAAAAGCTTACAAAAACAGAAAAAACTAGACATTCAAAATTTTTGCGAATTCCATCCATACACTAATTTTCTTGATAAATTCTTCATTCTTAAGTAAATAAAGGATTGTGACCTTTTTTCTAGCTTGTGGCGCTCCTTAGCATTCCTTTCCTTTTTTTGCGAGTGAGGAGCATTTATGGCAACAGACTTTCATTCATTGCAACCCACACTCACATCGTCACTCATTTATTCCTTCAAGCAGCCAAATACATTTGTACTATCGTCAATGGAGGAGTTTATCTTGGTGGCAGGGACGTAGGGAGAGGAGATAGAGAATATAGATTTTTAAGCGATATGCTTAGGGTCAAATTTAAAAAAAGTATTAGTAATGCCATCATTAATTTGAGCTTAATCTGGCTGCTATGTGAACCTTTTTCCGAGAACTTAAAATTTAAGAACAGTTTTCAAGGCCGAAAAATATTCGTCATTTTTTATACCCTACAACACTATGTGTTGGGGGTATTATAAGTTTGATTGGGCCAAAAATTATGTAACACCACGAAATATTGATTTCCCACATAGGAAAGTATATATGGATCTTCCTATCTCGCCGAGCTGAGTCGATCTAGCTATGTATGTCCGTCCGTCCGTCTGTCCGTCTGTCCATGTTAATTTGTAATCACTCTACAGGTCGCAATTATGGCCCGATCTTCACGAAATTTAGAATGTAGGTGCGTCTTGGACCAGAATAGAACCCTATTTCTTTTGGTGATGATCGCATAATATTTAAGGGTTGAAATGGACCAAAAACTGAAAAAATTCCTGATTTTGCACTTGCTCTACAGGTCGCAATTATAGACCAATCGACGCGGAATTTCGCATGTAGCTAGAGTTTAGGGCTGGCAAGAAGTCTACCCATTTGGGTGGTCATCGGATAATATTTAGCGGGTAAAATAGACCATATCTTTTTTGTTGAAAAAATTCAAATTTTTTCATTAAACCGCGAATATCTTAAATCCCAGCGAAATCACAAAGCCATGACAAGGTTACTTCTGATCTTTACACTGATGTTAACATCCAACAAATATATAGCAAAATATGTGCGATATATATGTTTATCAAAGAAGATATGCTTGAAAAATCTCTTATATGTCGAGAACGGCTGGACTGATTTCGACAGTTCTCATTAATTCAGAATGGCCTCTTGGCAGGAAACATAAATCGTCTAAAAAAATCGCATAAAAATATCTCTCTAAAGATGAAAATATGGATTTTGTAAAATTTTCTCATATTTTTTCCATTTTGTCATATTTTTGGCATATTTTCATTTTGAATTAAACATTTGGTAATATTTCTACAGCTAACAAAACTAAGTAGTTAGGATATCAGGATATCATATACAGATCGCATTTATGGCCCGATCCTTACGAAATTTTGCATGGAGATAAGATGAGGGTCGGAATAAAAGCCTATTCTTTTTGGAGATGATCTCCATATATTTAGGGGTTGAAATGGACCATAAAACTGCAAAATTGTCAGCAGGTCGTAATTATCAACCGATCCTCACGCCCATTTGAATGGGGGTTACCGGACATTGCAAAAGCCAAGCAGTTTTGGATGGCCATCCAAAAATATTCAATGTGGGAAATAGTTTGCCAACTTTTGTAGACAAAATACGAAAATGTCCATTCCAGTGACTCTTTGGAGAATTCACAAATACAGGAAAGACGCACTTCTGACTATTTCGTTAACGCTGATTTCGTTGAAGAATATAGTCAAATGGCTGTATCTCATATAGATGCGTTTCAGTCAAAAACCAATAATAAATGTTAATCTTTTGCCACTTCTGAGAGATTATAGGTCTTTGGAAATATTGGTTCCAGATCTAGGAATACCATTTAAATTAGTTTAAGTTGCTATTACTCGAAAATTAGAGAACGAAACCTGATGGTTTTCTTTTATTATTTGTCACAATATCTTGTGGAATTCTTTCGAGTATCTCGCCTATATAAACTGTATCGTTTATTATAGTGTTGTAGGGTATTCAACGGTCGGCCCCGCTCGACTGTAGCCTTTGCTTACTTGTTTAATAATACTTTTTATCGAAATATTTGTATCTGTAAATTGCATTTTATTAGGGAATATTTTTCGAAAGATTAAAAAAGGTATTTTTTTTTTAATAAAATTTTGAATTTTGTAGAATATTTAACAAAGGACCCTTAGGTCCATAAACGTGATTTTT